AAATTTGGGACACTACCGAGTTACATTACATTACATCACAAGTTCTCATATGTCCTTAGTCTTAATTGATCTTGGAAGGCTAGGGCCAAAGGCTAGACCTTTGTCTTTCCTGGAAGCCCTCCTTTTTCTCTAATTTGGTCTGCAAACTTAGGTTGTTAACCATACAGAAGACAAGCTTATTGTTTTTACCATACAATCTAGGCTGTTAAGCTTAAGCTCACTATCTGTCTGAATATCAAACGTATTAGGCATAACATAGAACAGGAATGTTTCATCAAGTATTGATGTGTTGAACTTTAAGTCCCTACAGAATATGATTAAAAAATTTAAAAATTAGAATATATTTTAAAAATAGACATAAAGAATTATATACTTCTTACGTTTACACGTAAGTCCAAAGAACTAACCCTATACAACCTGAAGCAGGACAGTCCCACAATATTCCTTTTTCTGTCTCTTGCTTTCATTCACCACCCCTTTCTTTTTGAACAACCATCTACCCAAAAGACAGCATAGAAGCAACTGGCATGTCAAGACAAGCAGCCCGTATTCAGAATACCAGAATGACAGGCACTCCAAGCATGAAACTACTATTACAGTTTAACATCTGCAGTGCAGTTGCTTGGTTCACAGGTATCAGTATATATAGGTAGTCAGGGTGAGAATCTTTACAATTACCTGCTAGATTCAAAAATCTTCTGGAGATTCTCTGGATCTTTGCCTTGCTCATCTTTTACATATAACTGCATGGCTTAACATTGTCATGTTTCCTAGCTCTTCTCCTTTCCCTCTCTTGATTAGTTAGTCCTCATGATCCTGCTTTCCATTTAGTTGTATTATACTTTTCTATTTATATTTTTTCTTTTGAGTTCTTATACTAGGGAAACTACATGATATTTACACATGTGTGTCTGGCTTATTACACTTATGAGTATATGTTCAAGTGGCATCCACTTCAATATAAAGCCTTCGAGTTTATCATTCTTAATAGCTGAATAATAGTCCATTGTATAAAAATATCACATCTTTTTCAACCATTCCTCTGGTTATGGACATCTTGGTTGTTTCCAAGATTTGGCTATCACAAATTGTGCTGCTATAAACATATGCACACATATATCCCTATTATATGATGTTTACAGATCCTCTGGGAAAATTCCCAGTAGAGGAATAGCTGGTTTAAAGGGGATTTCTAGTCCAAAGTTTCTAAGGAGTCTCCACACTGATTTCCATAATGGTTGTACCAGTCTACATTCCCACCAGCAGTGGAGAAGGGTTCCTTTTTCACCACAACCTCTCCAACATTTGTTGTTTGGTGATTTCTTTATGATAGCCATTCTTTCTGGGGTCAGATGATATCTCAGGGTTGTTTTAATTTTCATTTCGTGAATGGCTAGTGATGTGGAACATTTTTTCATATATTTATTCGCTTCTTTAATTTCATCCTCTGAGAAGTGTGT